CATATGTCTTCACAGTAAATATATTTTTTCTGTATGTTTAAAAAATATAACCCTATATTTTATTTTACTTCGCTGGAATAAAATTTATCATGTTTGTGGGTTTTTTTTTCTACTTGAGACTTAACAGGAGAGCACTATCTGCAGTGTAGGTGTTATTATTTCCATTTCAGAGATGTCAACACCAAGGCCAGAGAGGTTAATTATTTTGCCCCAAATTTCACATCTGGCAGGTGGGCAAAGCAGCCTGGGTTTCACACCAGATCTGTCTGATTCCAAGCCTTCCAGAGACTGTTCCACCATGCCCTGCTACTTCCTATTTAATTATGGTTAATGCTTTATATGCCATTTCATGCCCTTCAGAATTTCTTTCATTCATTTGCACTCTGATCATTGCACAGGTGACTTTTCCCTTTCTAGTGCCCACACATAATAGAACTCCTGCCTCCTTCATAAGAAGGTGCTGCTTTTAAATGCCAGAGATAATGATGTTCTAGGCTGGGGGAAGCTAATCCCAAGGAGAAATGACCATGTAAACCCTGAGGGAGGGGGAGTCTAAGGCTTCAGGAAATCCCCACTGTAAATCCTAGCAAACTAGAGTGGGTGCTTGACTTTATGACATCTGATTTTTTTACATTGACCAGGTAATGTATCAAAATAACAGTAAATCACAATCATCTGGTTGTAAGACCCTTGCAAATGACAGACTTTGATCCGATAAATAGAAAGTTTAATTTATTTAAAACATACCTTCTTTAATTTGAAAAATAAATGATGAAATTTGACTACTCTAAACCTGTGATTCTTAAAACTTTAGAAATGCTGGGTTGTAGGATATAAAAGGAAAGCATAACTGTGCATCTCACTGTTCCCTGAAGGTGATGAACATTCAAAATCTGGAGTTACCTCCCTCAACAATTGTGATATGACCTGTTTGATTCATACTGATGGAAATTTCCTGAGTAAAGCATGGTCAAAGATTTAGGGCTCTCAAGCCTCACATTGATTTTTACCTTAAATTACTGTTCTTGTCTAAATGTATTTGAAATGGTCATAAAGAGATGTTGATGTTTATCAAATTGATGTGATATAGGAAAGAGTTGTGATATAGAGAAGAGTTGTGAAAAATTAGTGGAATCGTATGACTTTTAATGTTAACTTTTATCTGGAAAATTACAATATTGTCTTCTCTTCCTCACATCTGAGAGGACCTTGATTTCCCTTGCTTCTTACATGACAGAATCATTGAATTTTACTAATGAAAGTGATACCTACTTTACTTGGTCGTTTTCCAGAAGAGAACATTGAACCTTAAAAAGGTAGCTTTCACCATGTTAGTAATGCCAATCTCTTGGCCTTTCGATTCTAGTGAAAAGGATTCATGTCATTTATGAGAAAAGACGGCAGGTGACCCCTGCTCACAGTGTTTTTCTCAGAACTCAAGGATACTGAGGGGAAAATCACATCTATTTCCAAAAATTTAACTCTAGGAGACTTTTTTTCCTCCTAGATAGAACAAGCTTAGTTAATTATATAATTGGAGGGAGGTATTAAGATATAGCTGAATCATATATATATGTATATATATATAATATATATATATAATTGTGATTATTTTATTTTTATAAGTTTTCTTTAAAAATACTTATATACTAATGCTACATGATGAGTAATTAGCTTTATAAAGTAGGCTCACAATAGGTATAAAATTATTAAATGTTAATTAACGTTAGAATAAGTATCTTCTCTAACATATTAAGTCAAAATTCTTTAAGATTTGATGGTTAGGATACAATACAGTTTCTAAAATTGTTTCATTTGACTCTTTTTTCCATACTTTGAATTCTTTCCTGTTGCCTGGGTTGGTTAAGCTTTTTACCTTGCTGAAATGCCAAGTCCCCACACTTTGTATTTATATAGCAAAATATGCTAGGTAAAGTGTTAGCATATATCACTGTTTTTATTATTGAGTAAATATTAAATCTATAAGGAATAACAGAAATTATAAGAATTCTTAGCATTTCTTTAAAGATGCTTTACTTCCCTTACAGTACTCCTACTTGACACCATTACAAAGTCCTTCTAAGCCAATGACCAGGAAGGGAATTATAACAAGTTGTTTTCTGAAAATGCTGAGGTGTGTGCCTTGTAAAGAAAAGTCCACAATGAACACTAAGAGTTTCTAAGCTCTTTCCTCCTAAGTTCTTGAAAAGTATTAAAAGGCATGGATTGGGGAAAAGGGAATGCTGTATATTATATTCAATAATGGTACAAGCATTTCTGTCTAAATTTAGCACAAAAGTTACAGGTTAGGCAAGTCATAATTGAGTGCAAAAGCCTATTTCTACCTTTGGACAATTTTCATGAATTTTAAACCATGAAGGAAAATCTTCATTTTAAATAGTTTAAAGAACATTCCCTTAAACTTCAAATTCCATCTTCATGAAGTCATTTCTACTATTAAAATATTATTTCTGTGAACATACTTTCTACAAGAGAAAGAATTTTTAAAAGATCATTTCTCTATTCAAAATAAGTCCTCGGAAGAAAATTTAAGGTCTTTTTACTTTCCTAGTATGCAAAGGGAGAACCCTAGTTTTCCAGACTAGTCGGAAATGGGGCTGTAGAACTCAATTCTCCAATGTACTTAAAAATATACAGAGAGCTCTCTGTTGAATTTTTTAAAACGAGGTCTTCCACAGTAAAACTGCATGCCATGCAAGTGAGTTAAATAAAAGACTGCAGACAAAATAAATCAGGAAAAATACACACCCAGTTTCATTTCTAAACAATTAGCCAAAATATTCTTAATACAATATTGTTTGCTGTCTTAGATTTTAGCACTTAAAAAAAAATTCTGTAGACTCCAAATTCTTAAACTTGGCATAGTTAAGTTCTTTCACAAGAAAAGATACATGTGCTGTTATTGTATACGAAAGTAAATGCAAAAAAAAATGTCCTTCTTTACTCACGCATTTTGGGATTATTTACGTTTAGACATGATAACAGAAATAACAGATTACCTGACACACAGAGGTAATACCTGTCCTGGACGGAGAACTCTATTTCAATAAACTCGTACAGATTCTGCGAGAGTGGCGTAAACAGTTTCTTCTCCAAGTCCTCCTTTACCAACGATGACATTTCCTCCACTTCCACTTGGCCTGATACCTTGGCTCAAGCTCACCTTTTCTCTCCTTTTGCTGCCTAATTGCTTGTTTCGGTGTGCAGCTCCTTGATGAGCGGGGCTCACCTCCCAGCCCTCCTCACTCTGTTAACTTCTCATTCCCAGCCAGACCCAGCTCCCAGAGCACTCCGCGCGGTCAGACCCCTCGCTGCGGAATCTGCTCAGTGGCAGCGGCTGCTGCAGCAGCCAAAATACAGCAGCAGCACTAGCCCCACCGTCACTTCTCAGCATCCAGGCTCAGGCAGGCTGCTCTCTGGAGCTCTCCTGTGATTTGTTGATGGGGAACATATTTATGAACACCAGCAGATAGACTTGTGGAGTCCCCTGGTTATTCTCGGCTAGCAGTCTTTTCCTCCTTTTACATCACTCTGCAGAGGAAGACCACTACTTCAGCTTGATTCCATTAGATAAATCAGCTGTCTGGCTCTATTGATTGGGATCATCTTCCATTAAGAACTTTGCTGTCATCGGCAAGAGAAAAAGCAACGGTGCTTGCTCCTGACACTTCCAACAAGTCTCTTTCCCTCCTTTCTTTCCCCTCCTGCGATTCATTCAGATCTTTGCTTCCGTGATAGTTAGCACCGATTTCTGGGTCTAAAATTTTTTAAATGGGCTTGCTTTAATGTCATTTATTACCCTATGAAGAGACATTTCTCTAAAGAGGACATACAGATGGCCAACAGACATATGAAAAAATGTTCAACCTCACTAATCATTAGAGAAATGCAAATAAAAACCACAATGAGATTCCACCTTAACCAGGTCAGAATGGCTATCATCAATAAACCAACAAACAAGTCCTGGAGATGTTGCGGAGAAAAGGGAACCCTGGTGTACTGTTGGTAGGACAGCAGATTGGTGAAGCCATTATGGAAATCAGTATGGAGATATCTCAAAAAACTGAAAATGGAACTACCTTATGACCCAGCAATTCCATTCTTAGGTATTTATCCACAAAAACCCAAGACACTAAATCGAAAAAATATATGCAACCCTATGTTCATTGCAGCGCTATTTACAATAGCCAAGACTTGGAAACAACCGAAATGCCCATCGGTAGATGACTGGATTAAGAAACTGTGGTACATTTATACAATGGAGTATTACTCAGCTATAAAACGGAATGAAATCGTACCATTTGCAATGAATGCCAGCTTAATCCTTTGGACTTCATTCTATACAAGTAGAGAGGAAGAGTTTGGGCATTCATTTATTTAATAAATATCTCTCAAGGGCTGACTCTGTGCCAGACTCTATTCTAGGAACTGGGAATGTGGCAAATGAAAAAAAAAAAAGACCAATTAGTTGGTATTGTGGAGCTTAGTGGAGTAGATGGAAAGTAAAGAAAGAAACGAAGCACTAGTTCATTCAAGGTGCATTCAGCTGCACATAACAGATACATGACATAAAGTTGTAAATAGGAAAAACTTTAAACAATCTCTCCTAAGAAGAGCTCTGCAATGTAGTATCATTAGGATGTGGTGCCTTTGACAAGTGATTAGGTCATTAAAGTGATGCCCTCATGAATGGAATTAGTCCCCTTTGTAAAAGAGAACCCAAAGAGCTCCCTTGCTACTTCCATCATGTGAGGACTCAGTGAAAGAACCAGGAAGCAGGTCCTTACCAGATCCTGAGTCGGCTCGTGCCTTGATCTTGGACTTCCTGGCCTCCAGAACTGTGAGAAATACATGTTTATTGTTTAAGCCCCCCAATCTATGGTATTCTAGTATAGCAGCCCAAATGGACTAAGACAGTGTGTGTATGTGTGTGTATGTGCACACACTTTGAGGATTTAGGGTAAATTCCAAATGGATGTACTTTGTGAGATGTTTTCTCATGTTTCCATTGGTTTTCTTCTGGTTATGGATACTTTAGATAGTTCCTTAGCTCTGACGGTTATAAGAGTTATTAGAGAATACAGCCCTATCCCTGAAAGGAAAAGAAAAGCTATTTCTTCTTATTGTGACCACTTCTCCCTGACATTCTAACATTCACCGATGAGGACTTGCTGAGATACTTGATATCTCAGGCTTCAATTTATCACTAATACTGCAGAATGTGTCACAATAGGATGGCTTCAGCGGTTCACAGTCAGTGCCAGAGTCCTCATTAAGAAAGGGCTTCTCTGACTCAGCCAGAGATTGAGTACATTTCTTGCTCGGAATATTCTAGTATCATTTTAAAATATTGGATTTATATAGGCAGTTTCCTTTTTAAAAGTGAAAAAGAAAAAAATTCAAAAAGCACTTCACGAAAAAAACATTCTTTTGACAAAATACATACACAAATCCATTTTCAGGGACGATTTTGTCGTTTCATACAATTTTACAAACATTTAAAGGCAGGTTATAAAAAACAGGTTTGTATTTTCTCCTGTATGCTACAGAATAATACCAAGATCAAATTTATCTGGTTTTTTTTCTATATGGTTTCATGGACTACATGATTTATGTTCATAAAGAGGCTACTCCAATGTCATAAGAGTGAAAATAAAATTATTTCTATAGAATGGCTTCTTTTGTGCATGTTAAAATATATATAGCAGCTCGACAGATGTTTTCAAATAAGTGTTTTTCTTATTTTAGAGATAAGAGGATTTCAAACTAGTTAATGGAGAGAAAAATCACATAACTTGCTATCCAACTAATAATAGCCAACTCATAATAAACGTAAACAGTCGTGTAGTGCTTAGTATGAGCCAGGTGCTGTTCTAAGAGCTTTGTAGATGTGAGCTTATTTAATCTCCCCAGCATTTCTATGAGGCAGGTATTGTTATTTAAATTTTACATACGAGTAAACTTTGGCACAAGTTTCCAGTTACTTTCCCAGTGTCACATTGTAGTGGAGCCAGATTTGATTGAGGGCAGCCTTGCTCTATAATCTGTGCTCAACCACTGGGCCAAACTGCTTGGTTCCAGTTTGACCATGAGTAGTAGTTAAAAACTTTGCTACAAAGTCATAGGCATATTTCTTAGGACATTTTAATCTGTACATAGAGTACTGTATTTTTGTTTCAATCATTTTTTTCCAATTGCCTCTTCATATTTAGACCTTTCAATTCTGCCTGTGTCCACAAAGATGCTTGTAGCTCAGGACTAGGAAGGATGAGGTCCTCTCATTGTAGGTACTTCATAACCGTCCCTTAAACGAACGAAAATGCAGCTATTAGTCTTTTAAAAAGGTCTTAATTTTTTTCTTTCCTATACTAAAATCTGCAATGGAACCAGACATTTTAAGGTCAATATAAAACATACAAAGGCTATCTATTGTTTTCCTTTGCCTAGTACTCTTTCCTTCTGGTAGAAGAATCCATCTTTTCTATGGAGAAGTTGTTCCCAGTGTAGTGGTAGAGCTGCTCTCCCTGCCATTTGCTTGACCACAACACGGGCATGAACACATGACCCTGGCCCAGTCTTAGCCAATGAGAGTCCTCCTTCCCCTGGTTGCAGTGACTGGTTCAGGGCTGTGCATGTGATTCAAGCAGAATGGTGCCTAACCTGTTGTCTCTCTGCTCCAAATCCATCTTTCTTTGCCTTGCTTTGTGATCTTGGAGCTTGGCCCTGTAAACATTTCTCCTTTGCCACTGCTATAGCGGTGGGAAGATATTTCCAGGTTCTGGTTCTCCATTATTATTAATGCTTAGGGTGGGAATCTTGCAGCTGCACTGGGAGATTCCAGCTGCGCCCTTAGGCCATACTGTCCCACCAGCAGCTACCCATACCCTCTGGCAACAGTCAGCTGCTTCTGTAGACCTGTTGCAGTCTGTCCACACCCTCCCACAATGACTAGCAGTTTTTATGGACTGGCCCTGACTGGCACCCTATGGCAAGTTAGTTTATCACTAGCAGGCTTCCAGTTCCTGTGCAAGCCATATGACTTTCAAAAGGGTCCGAATGTCATCCTCATGGAGGAGGTTCTCCTTTAATCCTTAGTCCTATATTGTTGACTCATCCTCAGTCTCAGGTTAGTAGCTGCTCTTTTGTACCTGCTATTTCTGGACTCATTTTTTGTTTTGTTTAATAACTTTTTTTTAAAGGGTTCACTTTAATTTAAACTATCTTCTCCTGTTCTAGTTAAAAATTGTTTATGTTAAATTTTCTCTGTTTAAATAACCAGTGTGGTTTCTGTCTCCAAATTGAATCCTGAGTGATGTAAGGTCCATCAGTTTCCTCTCTGAAATTTTCCATAGAGTCCAGAAAAAAAAGTTTCTCTCTCTTTAACGGATCAGAAGCTGTAAGTACAAGGTAAGCTGGAGGTGCTTGAGGCCATTGTGCCCAGTCACAGAGAGACTATTTTCAGTTTTAAAAATTACAATAAAAGATGAGATCATACATTGAGAGAAACAGATGTGAGAGTCAAATGAAGATGAAGAGAATTCTGATGGCATCATTTGACTCCTTAGATCCAGCCATGCCCAAAGATAATTTTCCACTCATATTACCAATAAATTTTCTTTTTTTCTTAAGCAAGTTTGAGCTGGATTTCTGTGTCATGAAATTGAAAGAACACTAATTACAATATAAAGTAACTTTACCACAAAAGAAGTAACCGCTCTTCTTCACATTTCATTTCTGGTTTTAATAGTATCTTTAATTTTTAAAAGGATCAAAGGATCGCTTGCTTATTTAACTTTTTTTTTTGCGATCTCCCCAAGGCAAGCTCTGAAGGTAGTCTGCTGCCAGCCTTCCTTCACTGAAGAGGACTGGGGTGATGCATTGCAGTGTCCACCATGGGGGTACCTAACCTAGTCTGAGGAAGCAGAAGAGGGCCTCCCTAAGAAAGTGACCACTGAGTGGATGCACAAGGCTGTGTTAGAGTTGTCCAACTCCAACAAAATGAAAGAGTCAAAGAGAAGATATATTAACCTGATCATTCAACAAATACTGAGTCTTTCCTTTTTATGTATGGAATATTGTAGTGGGTGCTAGGGATACAAAACTAAATAAAACCCCCTCCTGTTAAGGAGATTGTATCCTCCACGTGTTTTATTTTCAGCAGTATTCTGATGCTTTGACATCTGGGGCCTTGCTGACTCTGGAGGGACCTCTTTTCCTAGGATTAGCTAATTACTAGAGATAGTAAACAACTC